TTCTTCAAACCAAACATACCTTTTATCAGTTCATACATTGCACAGATCTCTTCTAATTATAGAAAAAAGACCAATACATGGTTCTCTTTATGATTTTTATTTAAAAAATAATGTAAAATTTATAAAACTGTCAATGAGTTGGTTCTAGCAGATAGACTCAAACCCATTGAACCAATTATATTGATTCTGGTTATGTAATTTTGTCCCAATTAATAATTAGTTTAGTTTTATTCTTGGTTGTTCCAAACGGATTCAAACACGAATTGATTAATTTGTTAATAGTATAAAGGTTTCTTATTTTTTTATAAATTTTATTATATTTTACATGTAAAAGGGTAAATTTGATAAATAATATATAAGATGATTTTGATTAAAAACACTTGATTTATTGATATATTAACAATTTATTATTTTACTGTAATTTTCATGTAAGATTATATTATCAAAAAACCAAGTTTTAATTTGGTATTTATTTAAATATTTATAGCTGCCAGTAGTATCGGGTCTAATCGGGTTAAAGTTGGTTATTAATCAAGATGATTCTGAATCTATGGTTTTGTCCTAATTAATAATTGGAATGGGAGTGATGCTCAATCTAGACCCAACCCGTTAACAGCCCTAAAAATTCAGTTCACAAGTAAGTTTCTTTCTTTTTTTTTTTCCTCTTATTTTATTTTTCTTATTTACCACCGTCTACCTCTCTCTTAACTTCTAATTCCTGAGCTTCCAATTTGCTTTCTCTCTTCTACTACAAAATGGTTTTTTCATTCTTCATAATTCTCCCCTCTTACTTTCTCTCTCACCACTAAAATCTCCCCTCTTATATTGGAATATTTTTAATGTTCATGCATTGTAAATCAGTGTAGCTGCATGACCCTTCTACTAAAATGTTAAAAATAAGATAAATATTGCTTTGAAGAATAGACTTGAAACTGCCTTATTTATTTATTTATTAATAATTATAATAATATATTAATTTAATCCAAAAAATGTTTTCTTTTAACAGGCACATTTGGAAGTAATAATGTATTTTATATAATAATGTATTCTGTTAATGGAGACTTGGGAAACTCAAGACTTGATAAATTACTTTTAGGCCTCATTCGCTTTTCAGTAAGTTTTACCTGAGTAAGTTTTCCTGGGAAACACTTACCCGGGTAAGTGCATTTATCCATGTTTTTTTATTTCTCATGTAAATAAGGCAATGACCATTTTAGCCATAAAAATTCATTATTAAAAAGGGCATTTTTGTCTCATTCAAGTGTTGGCAACTTTCCTCCTATGTGGGAAAATTATCTACCCACCTAGGAGATGGGTATCACTTACCCGGGTAAGTACTACCCAAGAAAATAAACTTTCCCTGGTCCCATATAAATCTGAAAAATGAACATGGGATTCTTGATCAATGAGAACCCAAGAAAATAAACCACCTCTCAAGAATCCCATATTCAATTTTCAGATTTTGATTCCATCTTACTCTATTGTCCCACACTGCACTTTTTTATTCCATCGTGTCAATGTCATATCCATATAGAGGAGATGACCCACCAAAACCGAAAACTATACAGCTAAAGACCTGCTCACGAAGGAGCTGATGAAGACAATTTGACAAAACGTTCAACTCTATTATTGGGTTCTCAGTTCCAATAGCCTTCTACCTGCGTTGGAACTCGTGGACAAATTTCAATGTGTACCACCACTACCATATTTCCATATTTTGCCAAGTCAAGAATAGTCCCTTGGCTACCATCGCTTCTATTTCAGTGTGTATCACCACTACCATATTTCCGTATTTTGCCAAGTCAAGAGTAGTTCCTTGGCTACCATCTCTCTCTTGGAATATAAGATAGAAGCATACAACAACCTCAACCATGGTTTTGAAAACCAAACCAGACCAGACAGCCAGATCGGAAAAACCGGGAACCAGTCATCTGACCAATTCTGTTTTCCCCTAAAACCGCTTTTTCCGAAAACCATTGATTTTGGTCAACAAACCACTGAACCGTTCAGTTAATTGTTCGAACCATTTGAACGGTTTGACTATTTTTCAATTTTTTTATTTTTTTGTCAGAACGGGCCAACTGTTCGGGTCAAACAGTCGGACCATTCAAACCGGTAACCGGACCCCTGACCGGTTCAGTCACCGGTTTGGTTTTAAAAACCATGACCTCAACTGCCCCCTAACTGTCTAACCACACTAAATTTGTTTAAGCAATAAAGGTTTTACTTTTTAACCTTTAATCCAATTTAAAAAACTTTAAAAGATAGAATTGTATTAATAAAAGTTATATTAATTAATTTTTAATATTTCATTCTTCTTTCATTGTCCAAACATCCCCAATGTAAAATATATTTATATCTTAGTTATTTCAATCTTAAATTTAGTATTATTAATATAATTATAAGATTTATCAAAACATGCTAGATATTCATATTTGCCTGAATCGTTCCACCGTATCTATACTATACTGATACACTTTGCAATACCGAAATTTAGAACCTTGGTATACAACTGTAGACTAGAATCCAAGAAACTAAGACCAGGCTTCTCAAGAAAAATTTAAGGCTGTATTTGGTTTGAAAGAAAAGATAGGGAAACCTATACAAACCTTGTACAGCTCCACAATCAGATAGGGAAACCTAAAAGAACCCTCCATCTCTGCAACAATAGGACTTAGACAGCTCCACAATCAGATCTAACGAGCCTCAGCCAAACCTTGGTTAATCTACTTTATCTTCTAGAAGCCTCAAGTTATGAGTTTGGTTTGCCGTACATCTCAGATTAGGATCCCATCTACTTGTGGAACTAGTAAACACGTGTGTGCATTTTCAAGTGATAGTATCTTTAAGACAAAACTATTTATAATTCACGGGCAATTTCTAAACGATTATAAGTGAGCAATTTCTAAAGTGAGAGTAAATGACATATATATCTTTTTTATGCCTGCTATATGCTTAAACAAGGAGATTAGAAAACGTCCAATGAAAATTCTAGAAAGAAAGGGCATTTGCTCTTTTATAAGTAGTATAGTATAGATGTGAAAGGGATTGATCCGAGTTCAACTGCTCAAGCCCTCCTCTCTTTTTGGTTTTGGTACTCATCTTCTTGAGGCTACACAACGAAGGTAGCCCATCCCCATACCGTTAACCCACCCGCCCAAACCCTGATGGCAGCGGGCTGGCATCCCACCAACCGTTAAGCCCTCATTTTAAGTGTGTAAAGGTTAAACAAAGTGCTGTGGTCTCTTTTCTAATACTTCATATTACAGGCACATATAGTACCTTTTTCCACACGCACACACAGAAGCAGATCCCTCGAGAAAGATAGAAACCACCACCTAGCATGCTAAACTCCTTGTTGAATAAAATTTTGATGCTTATAAACTCGCTCCTTGATGCAGGCGTGCAAGAAGCACTCCACAGTGAAACTGTTCTCCCAAGGCACCCATTTGAGTAAAACTAACTATGCTTCAGTTAAGAGGGGTGGTAATACAGCCAATAGTTTTGTAGCTCGTGATTGCTCTGTCTTGCATATGAAAAGCCATGCTATGGAAGATTAGAATGCCATGAACTCTGATAATGCAAATGGCTGGGCAACTTGTAAGATGTGATAAGTTAAATGAAGGACATGAGCCTTATGGATTGAGGGAATTGCAATGTGGTGGTGAAATGCATTTATGGCAAAGTGTATCTTCATTGCTTGTCTTTGAGCTTTGATTATAGATATTTTAGTGATAAATTGTTCAAATAATGCCCAAGTTAAAGATCTCTTACACGTTTCATAGAGGAACTTCTGCAGCTGATTGGCTGATGAGGCTTGTCTTGGACTCCAATCCAAAGCCTGTTGGCCAATATCATCAAGGATTAGTGGATGGGATACCCTAATGTTGGCAAGTTGTTTAGCCCCTGATTCCTCTTTCCCTACCAGAGAGAGAGAGAGAGAACCATGTAAAATTTCCTCCATGCTTCTCATACCTGAAGCTGAAAGCATTTACACAATTCAATGAAGCAATAAAGAAAACAAAAAGTGCAAAACACATAGTATAGTTGAAGTACGATTGAAAGATCAAGCTATTAAAACATTGAGATGCAAAACACATTTGGAAAAACGAAGAAATGCCTTCAACAAAGTGACAAAACTACACTACCATACCAAGACAAAGGGAATTACCTTTTTCCTTAATAATATTTAGTTATTCCGTCCATCACTCCACTCTCAACCCCCAAAAATATATCATTTCATAAATTATCCTCTTATTTATTTGATTCTCGATTGTCCAACCAGTTTGGACTGACTTCCCATGTTTTAGTCTTAAGACATAGGGTATATATGACAAACAATTCGTGTTTCCTTTATACAGGCAAAAGATTTTTTTTCATATCTTCTTAAGTTTAGCTATTGTTATATTATCCTATTCATAATGGTTCACCATAAGGGGGCCATTATTTGGTTAATGGTAAAATCCCAGGCTGGCAAGCTTAAGAATGTGGGTATGAATCTGAGGGCATACCAAATCTACCCCTCCCAAGATCCCAGATAGCTGGGACCAACATTGGGTAATGGCCTCCATAATGGTTGACCATAGAAGGGAAGAAAAGGTCCAACCAGGTTGAATTGGCCTACACGCAACATGGTATACCTCAGACTAAGCCTTAAACATCGGGCGAGTGTAGAACAGTTGGTGTTTCCTTACCATATGTCCATCTCTGTTTGCCTGCATGACTAGGGCTGTAGTGGAGGACCAATTACAGTGACCAAGCATTTGACCATTCAAGGCTGTTAGATAGACTTCCAAAATTTTGCCGACATGCAACGTGGTAAAGAGCCCATTGTCGTTCAGCAAAATACCAAATAATTGCCCAGTTTCCGAAAAACCAATTCTGGTGTCCAAATATGTTTTTCCATAAAAAAATTTCTGAGTGACAACTACTGGCAAGGTGAGAGTCTCACTATCACAGGTTATTTCACAAAATTAGAGCGCTTGGAGCATTTTTTTATGAATAATTAAAATTTTATTAAAATTCTTAAAGTAAAGACTTTACAATCATCCCTTAGAGAGACAAGAGCTGCTACCTCTCATACAGAAAAAAAACAAATCACAACTGTGCACTGAATCAACTAGACCTGTTCACCCCTTTTTAGCCAAAGCATCCGCCATCCCATTTGCTGATCTTTCACCCATTGTATCCTTAAACTCATATTCCTGGTTAGCCAAGTAAATTTTTTTCATTCACACCTGTAACACCAAATTATAGACTCAGGATTCCTTAGCCATTCTACCACCAGTTTGTCAAGTTAAGCTCACTAACTATTTGCACCCCTTGGATTGCAGCAAGCAGTTCAGCTTTGAGAGAGTCCCCCATACACACAGGACCATAAAACAGTGCTACAAGTTTACCTTCTCCATCTCTCACCACCCTTCCAATTCCACAAAAGCCTGGCTTACCTCGGCAACTCCCATCAAAATTCAGTTTGGCAAAACCTTCAATCGGTGGTGTCCAGGCCACCTCCATTCTATCCTTCCCCTTAGAGCTTTTAGCAGCTATCTCCCAATTCCTCCAAATGTCGTCAAAGGAGAACTGGGAGAACAACTCCAGTGTCTTTATCCAGTGGATGACTATAACCATCACACAAAACCTGATTTCTTCCATGCTTCTCTCCTTTTCTAAGAAGATTCTTGCATTTCTTTCTTCCCAAATGGTCCAAATCAAGGCTGCTCTAATACGTCTTCACAATGTCGTCCCTCTCTTCTTTGGCCAAGTAAAACAGGAGGGATCAAATAACATAGTAACCTCTGTAGGTAACGTCCACCTGCACCCAAACAAAGAAGAAAACTAAAGCCAAAAATCTGCAACAAAGAGGCAAGAAATCAGTAAGTGGAAACAACTCTCATTATTGGATTTGCACAAGACACACCAGTTCGGGGAGAGGCAGGAGTTAGGCCTTCTCTTCTGAAGCAAGTCCATAATATTTATCTTCCCACGAACTACTTCCTAGCAGAAGGCTCTTACCTTGGTTGAATGGGTCTACACCAAAACTCTTTGATGGGAAAGGAAGAAACTGAAGAATCACAAAAGGTCTTGAACAAAGAAGCACAAGAGAACAAGCCCTTAGGGTTGGGGGCCCAAATCCAACTTATCCGGTTTACCAGGTTCCAAGCAAACATTTTGAAAGAGTTGTAGAAGGTTCGGACAAGCCAAATTTTCGTTATCCCTAAGACCTCTATGGAATCCAAAGTCCCAACTAAGGTCCATAGAATTTGAAGGGGAAACAACAAACCTTGATACAAACTCATTTTTATACAAAGAAACTGAGTATAATGAGGGGAAAAGTTCCATTAACAGACAAGAACCAAGCCAAATATCCTCCCAAAATTTAACAGAAATCCCAAAACAAACACAAAACAAACATCATACCTGATGAAGCGGAGAAAGTGAGGTAGGATATTGCGAATAGCTTTCCAAGTCAAGGCCAGAGTAGCTCTGTTGGATACACCTGCATCCCAACCTTCCATGTATGCTGGCTATTACTTCATGCCACAGTCTATCCTTTTACACTGGCCACCTCCAAAGCCATTTCCCTAACAATGCCTTATTCTTTTTATCCACACAACCAATACCCAATCCTCCTTGTTGAAGATTTCTACAAACCACCTCCCATTTAATCAAATGATCATTCCTTCCATCATCCGGCTACCACAAGAAGTCTCTCATAATCTTCTCAATTCTCTTGGCTTCTTTTTGGGGAATTCTAAACACTGATAGGAAATAGATTGGCAGGTTAAAAAGTGTGGATTTGATCAGGGTAATCCATCCTCCCAGAGATACATAATTCCTCTTCCAAGCTGCCAGTTTCTTTGCACATTTCTCGCTACGGGGTTCCATAATCTACTTTCCTTTTGCACCTAAAGGCAGTCCTAGGTAGGTCAAGGGCCAACTAGCGATAGAACACTCCAAAATATTTGCAACAAAGTTCAGTTCCTCTTCCTCTAAGTTAATTCTTGCTATGCAATTCTTATCAAAGAGATGAGCTCAAAATTCTTCACCAGCTCCTTCAGATTCCTTATCAAACTTTGCTCTCCACCTTCAGATTAAAGATGAGCACTTGGTGCTTTAATACATGATGATTCATGACTCTTTCTTGTAATTTTGAATGCAGCTAGGATTATGTTCTTGCCTGAACTTAGTTAGCTTAGAAATGAAAATCATTGCCTGAGATTTCACTAACCATTACATGGACATGACAATCATAACCAGATAGAGGCTGGACTAGGATCCAAAGCTTCAGCCACCTATATGGTTGGATTCAACTTAAATATTACATTTGTGGTCACGGGGCAAGAAAAAGCCCAGTAAACAAGAGCATCCCAATATTACCAACCCTACAGGAGATTTCCCTTTATTTTTTTCCTTTTAGCCATATTTAAAATATATAAAAGCTGATATGAAAGAGAAATACCATCAGATATTAGATGTAGAATTGTCTGATGCAGTCTCTTTTCCCTTTCTGTATCTAGCAAGGTGCTTATGGTACTCTTCTAGCTCTTTCTCCAATTTTTCAATAAACTGGCTTGTGTGTTCAAGGGACTGTTCATACCTATATTTTTCCAAGGCCTGCAACATTCAGAGAAATAGAAGCGCAGAAAGAGAATATTAGCATATTGAAGCTAAGATTTCACCATATATGTGCAAGATAAGAGTATAAATAATAGTCACGTCTGAAATGACAGATACATTCTAATCAGGTTTAAAAGAAGAAATACACATAAAATAGGAATTTCCATCTTTTCCCATATCTGGAAACTCAAAGCCTTCACCAACACCACCACCACCAACAACAACAACAACAATTCTATTTTTGTAAAACATCTATAAGAGCAAAAATGGGGATCACTGCTTGGTGTGATAGTAAAATCTCAAGCTGAGAGCAAGAGAAAATGGATTCAAGTCAGAGAGCAGCCACTTTGTGAACACACCCCCCACCCCCCAAAAAAAATCTGAGACCAACATTGGGTACCAGTCCTTAGCTATAAGAGAAAATGTTACCTGAAGCAAATATTTAGAATCAAGAAGCAATAAATTCATAAAATGAGTTTAGAAAAAATAGGATACCATGATGGACAAAAGGCAGGCAATATGAATAGTATCAGGCATAAACTCATCAGAGTTGAGTTCACTCAAAATGGGGAGAAATGATAAAGAGTTATAGAGACAAAGACATAAAGCTGAAGGAAGGAACAAGGAAATTTTGCAGTGCTGCACTTCCCAGGATGCCCAGCTTGAGAACAATTCATTATATTGAGAAACCCAACCATTTGATCAGAAAGTAACTTTATCCACAGTTGACTTTGGCACATTATTGCATCACATGAAATCTCATAACAATTTGATTTGTGGATATGGAGATATTGTCAACTAGATAGCTACATGGGACATTTTCATAATAAATAGTAGCTATTTTCTGATTATATGGTCATTTTTATTTTACTTTGAGCTTGTATAAAATTTGGAAGTTATTGTTATATTAGATTAGTTGTAATAGTAATACTGATGACATTAAAAGTTACATTTAAGTCAAAGTCATAGTTGTCAGTCAACTAGGTTTTGTCCTGTTCAAAGTTAACAGGTTTTGGTGTTCCTTAGTTTTAGAATGGGAGAACAGGATTTAAAAAGAAGATAAGGGTTTACAAAAAGGAGTGCCCAACCCTCCTCATATAAGATAACAAAGTATTGATTTTCCTTCTTTCAAGTAGGGGTGATCATCAAAAACCGAGAAAACAAACCAAATATTCTGGTTAACCGAACCAGTTGGTTTAGTATTTTTGAACAACCGAAGTTACTGGTCCAATTTCAGTTAACCAATACAAAAAACCAGCAGTTAACTGCACCAACCGGTATATTTTTTATATATAAATGATATATATATATATGCATTATATATAAATATATAATATATTATTTATTCTTTATAAAATAATATATTATATGTATTTCTAGTATTTTTATTACATATTTGTATATTATTTATAATATATATTATAAATATCAAAAAGCCAAAAAATAGACGAACCAAACTGAACAACCAGTTAACTGATTGGCTTCAATTCGATTTAAGTTCACGTTTTTCCAATAACCGGTTCAGTTTGGAAAATTGGCCCACAGTTAAGTTAACTGAACCATGAGCACCCCTACTTTCAAGGTTTGGATATTCCCAGCTTCTCAGGGTGCTGATGACAAGGTCCATAACATCTGCCATTAATTATGCACCTCTATAACTCTTTCCCATATTCTCAGGGTTCTTATTAATTATGCTCTTTTTTCTTTATCAAAATGCAAGTGAATAAATAAAGCTACTGAATCTTTTCTTTCCAAGATGAAATAGAGGATGGAAGGAGACCAGTACCTTGTTCTTGGATAGGGTATCTGGAGGTGACATAACCTGTGGTTGGACATAATTCTTTCCACGGTAGAATATTATAGTATTGTTGGCTTTTATATCAATTACAATGCCTTTACTTAGCCGTGCAAGTTCTTCAGCATATTCATAGACCTGCCCAGGCTTGCAGGGTTTACAAACAACCTTCACTGTTTCATGCTTCTTCCAATGGAGATGCATATTGAGAACCACACCTCCAAATACTCCACGTCTTCCAACTATGACATAATTCTTCTTCTTCTCACCAGTGCGCTTTAGGTAAAATCTTTCTTCTTCAGTCAAAATTTCCGGATCATATGTTTCAGCCGGAGCTTTAGGAACCTCAAATTTCCTCAGCTTTTCAATCAGCCACAGTTCCTTCCGTTTAGCCTGTGGCAGGTAAAATAAAATTTACAGTGATATTGATCTAATATTTTGCATTACTGGAGATATATATATTGGATGAAAACAGAAGAAAGACACTAATGCAAGATGGAATATGTGATATCCCCCTCTTCTCCTCCTAGTGAAATCACTTGAAAATAGTGAATCCTACAGTGAGGCCAATATAAAGGCTCAAGCTCATAGATAATTTAAGGATTCCAGGAAGAATGAGAATGTACATAAAGAATTTATTCATGTAATTTTTATTTAAAACTTGTCTAGAACATCTACATGGTAGAAAGAAAGTGGCATCTTAAACAGGGAAAGAAGAGTTGCATTAAGTATACCAACCTTTTCAAGTTTGTATCTAATCCTAACTTCTGGATTTGGGGACCTGATCTTCTTCTTGGCCTTGAGTCGGTAGAATCTGAGTTCATTTAGTTTTGCTTTTTTGGACATCTTCACACGTTTGGGCATCTTCTTCCCTTTTATTTGGGACCCATTCTTGTCAGGCAGTAACTTATCAGGGCAAAATCTAACCACATCATTGTCTGTTTTTAGCATCACTGGAACATTGCTCATGTATTTAACTCGTTGCCATTTTAAAAGAGCATTATGGATTTCATGCAAATTTGTATTTTTTGAGCACAAAGAAGAAAACAGAGTAGATGTGCATAATGATTCTAAGCTACAGCTAGTTGCTCCATAGCTTCTCTGGTGTGCACATGCAACACAAGTAAAAAAAGGTTTAAAGAAAATTGTCCTCTGCAAATATAAGAGTCTGGGCATGGCTTGAATTGGACAGCAGAAACAGACCAGAGAATCCCTGTAAAAAGAATGATAGCTATTAATCATAAAGTAGTACAAAGAAGTCATCAGATAAACATTATTATCAAACACTGCAGTGTCCCTAAAAACCAATATTATTGAAGGAGAGGGTCTTGCTTAGCCTTGAAAGACCATCAGATTTGAAAGCCAAGGAGAAATTTACTCGCTTTCTTATTCATTCGAGCTTCTACACAGACTAAAAGTGGGAATTGGAAACAAATAAATAAATCTAAAATACACATACATAGATAACTAATCCATAGAAAGAGAACAACAAATTCTACTTCAGGCAATATTACCAGAATTTGGCCATTTTGGTTCTTTAGAAGTTCATTTAAACAATAAGGGTTTCTGACACATGTCCATCCAGGAGTCTGATTCAGCAAGATGAGAAAACATGGACTCGTGGAAATGTTTATGGAAAAGTTTATACTATTAAAATAGTTCATATTTTATGCTTTCTAAGATTATATAACTGCAAAAAATGTTGCCTTGATTACCAAGTCACATTTGTTACATTGTCTGTTCATTTATATCAAATAAGCCAGGAGACAGAAGGGCAAGGAGATAGAAGTGATCTGTGGCAAGTTGAAGGGGCTACAAGGGATAGGGGCTGACCGAAAAGGGCATGGTTTGAAGTATCAAGAAATGATTAAGCACTTATTATTTAACAATGGATATGACACTAGACAGAACAGAAAGGCAAAACAGGATTCATGTAGCCAAGCGCCCCAAGCCCATATAGTTGGGATAAGCAGGGGTGGAGCAAAGCATGGTGGGGGGTCCTTAGCCCCCCCCCCCCCCCCCAAACTTTTCTGTTAAAAGTCTTAAAACCACTATCTATGTAGTTAGTAAGTAGAGACAGGGTCAGAAGCATAATTAAGTGGGTCCCCCTAACCTTGAAAGTCCCACTAAAATGTTAAGGATCACTCCCTAACCCTCCTTCAACTCACAAAACAAAAAATTTTGTTTATTTTTCTTAAAAAAAAAAAAACTGTTAATAGACCCAAACCTTCCTGCCCCATTTCTCTCCAAACCCTACCTCCTCTACTCCCTATCTCATTTTCTTATTTAACTTGCTCTCCCCAAAAGAAAGTTCCTGGCTCTGCCACTAGGGACAAGGCTTTGATGATGATGATGTTAGGAGACAGAAAATGTCATGTAAAAATGTCCTCAATAATCCATGGACTGTGGTGAATGCATGTCTGACACAAACACATTGTTCATTTAGGAGAGTCCATGTGACAAATGACCTTGAAAATTGAAATTAGCACATGATGGAGGCTTTTAACTTAGTCGGCCCCATATAGTTCAGACAAGGAAAAAATGACAGAGGCTTTAAACTAGCTCCATGGAAAAAGTAGTGGATTGGGGGGAAAAGGATGCCACCTTAGCTTCATGTGTGAAAATATATTTTATGGACAAATTTCTAATCCTGGTATGTTTAAACATCACACTTGTTTTGTCCAAACAGAACATCAAATATTTCGTTTTCAAAATTGAACCTCAATAAGTCCATTTCATTTTTAATCAGTAATAACAAATTAACAATCGCAAATTCACAACACAACACTATTAATAATAATATATAATAGAACGAGTGAGGAAGAAATGCACGTATCTTTAGAAAACAGTATAAGTGAAGAAGCTGTGGTAACCAAGAGAATCAGGAATGCTTCTGTCTTGGGCAGCCATGAATGGTTGGTTTAAAGGAAAGCCTTACAATGCTTTTTTGACTGTGAAATTTTTTCACAGATATACTCTTTTACTTTCTTAATTGTAGGGGTGGCCACGAGCCAAGCTCTTCACGAGCTACTCGAGCTTGGCTCGTGAAAAGCTTGGCTTGACTCGGTTACAACCGAGCTCGAGCCTAATAGAGCTCGGCTCATGAGGTTCGCGAGCCAAGCTCGAATATACATATATATAATAAAATTATAGAAAATAATATATATATAATAAAAATATTATAATTCTTAATTTTTTAATTCTCAAATAAAAAATATTTTTTATATATAATTTTTTATTTTTATAAAACATTTTTTCTCAAATTGAGCTCAAGCTTACGAGTTTTTGACTCAAGCCAAGCTCGAGCTCAAGCCTTGTACTACCTTGGAGAGCCAAGCTCGAGCCTCGTACTATTCAGCTTGGCTCGGCACGAATCCACCCTTAAGTATGTTTTTTTTGTAAATCCTCAATGTACAGTCCCTTATTGTACAATGCAAGGAACAAGTAAACATCTTAAAGTGACATTTCTCAAGAAATAAAAGTATATAGAAGGCTTAGTAAATGAAATCTCAGGCCTACTAAGTCAGTCTACCTACCCCCTTCTTTGTCATCTGCTGATCTACAAATCTACATGAACAAGCTGTTCAACCGGTATGCCAAAGCTTTAGCTTCTCAAATAAGATGCCTCTGGGGCCAAGGGCCAACTGAACCATGTAAACATCCATCCAATTACTGATGGAAATCACCTTCCTCAGTCAACCATTCTAATCCACTTGAAAATGAATGGAAGAAAGATAAAAAGGACTGGAAAGTTTTCTCTTCTCTTCAAGTATGAAAGAAAACACTAGTAAAGAACTAAAGATCATTATTTTTGAGAAACCATTCTCATTCAAAACCCTTTTGCAACTTAAAGTTGCTGATTGTAGAAACAGACCTATCCACTGGCAAAATCAGAACGACCACCAATGGGAAAGGGAATCCACATGGTTGACATTCATAACAAAATGCAATACATGTAAGGTCTGACCAGCCCTCAGTTCTAGAGAAGGTGCATTCAGATAAGGATGAGTTGGGAGAAAAAGAAAAAAGGAAAATGGAAGTTTCAACTATATCATGCAAATCCAGTCGAAGCTGACAGTTCAGCAGACTTTAGTTGGTGACTTCACAGTCAGCTACTCACAGATCATGTTACTAACATTATGCTACCATAATTAGCCTCAATCAGCAATCAGAAAGAGACTAGCCCATTGTACTAATTGTTGAAATAAATGCTAAAATACGTAATTAACCTAATTAATCTAACTAATATTTAAGTGGAAGAATTATAAACTATCTCGTTACTATAAAATCCAAAATGAAATCTTGAAAGTGAACACGATGAAATGGATGCAAGGTGATATCCAAACCACAAAAATAAAAAAGAAACACTTTTTATCAGTAAAAATAAAAAGAAACATTAAACTACAAAATCCTTGAAAAAGAACGAACCTAGAGGTGAAGAAGCAATACCTGGATGAAAGAGAGTGATCGAATACAGTGTCTCGATACAAAGAAATCATTACGGAGGAGTGTATGGATTGAAGCCTCTTACGACTGACGAATCGAACCAGAGATCCCATGGAAAACTCAGATTATGTTTTTCACGAAAAAGAAATTTTACTGAAAAACCTCATTAGCTGCAGCGTAACGACTACAGGGGACTCGGGCTGGAATCGTCTGTCTTCCCACTCTGTCCGCCATCAATGTCCTCCCATTTAGGGAACGCCACTTCTCCTAAACGCGGGACTCCCTTAGTCCATGTGCGAAGAAAGATACGAACTTCCGTCTCTCTAAATCACTCTTCTCCTTTCCTTCGGCGACTGGCGACTAAGTGATACAACACGAAATGGTGGTATTCGTACCACAAATGCAATTCAAATTTGTAAGTTATAACAAACCATAACCAAATTGGCCATATTCGAGTGAAAGTCCCTTTAAAAATGAAATGCTTGATGATAAAATCTGATTTCAGAGATCATATTGATGATAAAATCACCCTTCTCAGTAACCTGCCTCCTTGTCTCAATAACCTGTACAAATCACACGCTTGATAAGCATTCATTACTCAGTTCCACTTCCATCATCTGTTTGCTCTTTTATCGAAATATAGCTTTAATCGTAAACGATGTCAAGCCACAACCGAGAACCGAACCAGTACCGACCTTCCCTATCTCTACCCACTCCCCCTCCTCTCTATTTTACACCATTCAAATTATTGAAACAATCAACAAAACCACTCTTCACCCTATACTCGCTCTTACTTCACCTCTACTTCAACTGGTATTCGGTGGATTAAATTAACGATGATGAACCCGTAGGCCTTTGTCAGAAATTTGTGGAGATATACCGTTCGACTAAATGACCAAAAGAGTTGTCATAGAAACAAACAGATTGGAGGATATCTAAAAGGCTTGTCTCCTCCAAACTCCCTCCATCCCCCTCCTCACATCACAGGCGACTCCTTGCAGTTTGTCCAGCTCTTGCATGCTGGTCGGATTCGTCAATACGTGTTTTGAGTACCCGTCCAGCTACCCTATTGCCTTGCCGAATTTGAAACCATCGTCATGAAACCTAGGGTGGATAGCCGAGCGGAATAGTATCAAGCTCGAACTCGGCTCAAGATTATACTATAAGGCTCAAGTTTCGAGCAACAACCTTGACCTCGAGCTCGGCTCAATTCAAGAGTTTATAAGCTCAAGCTCAGGTCAGCTTGGCTTGTTTTATATTTTATAAAAATATTTTATTATATATTTTATTAATATTTTATAAAAATAAAAATCCTATATAAAAAAATTATTCTATATTTAAAAAATTAAGAATTATAATATTTTTATTATATATATATTAAATATCAAATATATATATATATATTCGAACCGGCTAGCGAAATTTGTAGAAATATAAAAGATGCAGAAATTGCACAAGTTTTGTAGAAATTAAAGAAAATGTATAAAATTACAAAAAATATAGAAATTTTGCAAAAGAAAATGCATGAAAATGACGGCATCTTTGATGGCTTGAAAATGGATCTGGTTTCTTTTGCCATGGAGGCATGGAGCTCTTAGCCTCTGGTTCCTCTGATGAGCAGCTCATTGGAGCTAGGATTCTTCAAAAGTTATCAACCAATCTCAAGTTTTCCAAAGACACTGCAAAAAATAGGTGTATCTATATCAATAATTGAGACTGGTGGAGATGTTGGACATTCACAGCAAGAAGAGATGAGGCAAGCTGCAGCAGAGATATTGTCAGAATTAGGAGGGAAAAAACAAAATTCCCTCCATGTTGCTGGAATTCCTGGTGTGATGGAATCAATGTCATCGCTGCTCTACACTTGTCGGAGTTCCAATGATGCAGCCGATGAATTCTGCCAGAGACATGTAGTCTTGGACCATGAAAACTATGAATTTTCAGCCTTCAGTCACTTTGGTCTTTATATTCTGAAGAAGCTTGCTGGAGACCATGATAACTGTGTTCAAGTAACAAATTCCTACTGCAATGCTGGCATTTGAGAGAAAGAGAAACTGTCATTGGATATTGAAATTGGGGTAACTACAAAAGCTTGTTCTGGCACTGGGGGAACTAATACTCTGCATACATTCAGCAAGAAATTTGAGCAACCTATGTGCCTATAGTGAATTGGGTTGCTTTCTCAGACTACAAAATAAGATATCCTAATTTGTCCATCTATCTCATTGACATGTTCTCAACGCAATACAGGAAGTAATGATTGGAGTTGCAGCAGAAAGAAATTAATAATGGAATGAATTGAGATGCATGAAAGATATAATAAATGGACTGAGATTACTTTCACCTTAATCCCATGCTGCCGAATGATCCAAACACCAGGTTGAATAAACTTAATTTCAACAAACTTATTTCCTTCTGTATGGCTGACTCCAACCCTAATCTCAAGCGCTAAACTTCAAAATCCTGAGGAAAAGGGGACAGTATCAGCAGATTTCTCTAAGAGAGGAAAAGAGGTAGAAGAGAAGAGAAAAGGACAAAAAAAAGAGAAGAAATGGGGAAGAAAAAGAAGAAAAGAGAGGAGGAACTCGTTTACTTGCAGCGAGAAGGTGAATAGTGTTTGTCGAGAGGATATTTGGCTTGTGTGCGCGATGGTATTTGGACGCCAAACTAAATCAGCGACTATTTTGGTTGAATCGGTAGAGTAGCTTCAACGATGTATAATGGGAGACCTGACTAGCCTGGCTCCGGTGATGTTGAGGAAGAAAATTAGAGTATCGAACAATGAATCAGAAGGGGGGGAAAGTTCAATGTTAAAATTAAAATTGAAAATGAATATTTTTATTTTTAATATATATATTAATATTAAATACAGTTTACGGTAGGAATGGCAACGGGGCGAGGATGATATTCTCCGCCCCGATCCCGATTCTGAAATTAACTCATCCTTGTAATCAATCTTCATCGGATAAAATTTGTCCTTCATCCCCGATCGCCAACGGAATGGGTTCCCCACTCATTGTTATTCAGTACTTTTTGCAATAAAATATAATTAATTTATTTTTTAATTATTTTTAGTATTTTAATTAAGATATCAGATTTTTAATTAATTTTTGATGTTTTTCCATTATTATTCTATATTTTTTGATTGGCACGCCCTACTAGGTCATGATTAGGGGGTGCAAGTTAGGGTTGTCAATGGATTGGGTTTGGGTTGGGTCCAGTTGGAATCGAAATCGACCCGATAAGAAATTTTAAGGACCTATAATTGAATTGGGCTCAACAAGGTTTGTAATTTTTAGACCTATAACCAAATGGACAGGTTCTTGGGGCAATTGGCTCTAAGGATAATGCATTAGGACCTAAAACCGACCCAAATCGATTTTTTGTCCATCAGTTGTACTTGACCCATTGACTGCCCTAGTGCAAGTTAGGCTAGGTTATGTCAAGTATTGGTAAACCAAAACCAACCTTAGTTGTGGAACACTCTACCATAACATTAATCAAACTCCAAAGCTTCAAGTTAGGTTGGGTTCATACTTTTTAATTCTAATTTTACCTCAAATATTAGCCTAATCCAACCCTTCTCAATTTTTTCAAGCTATAGGCCTAGTCATGCACTTAAATTGAATGAGTCTGGATCTCCTACCCATGAGAACTTTGTCCATGTTTATTGCAGCCATACATGGGGAACATCTCATCCTCTGCATAGTGTTATGTAAGGGGAGATGTTCCCAATTCACGGGGGATAGTGTATTGTGGGCAGGCGTGGGTAGAGTTCTTGTGGGCAGGAGATTCGGAGTCAAATTGAACACTCACCCCTAATGAACAAATTAGTTAATTAATTAATGATTACCAATAAAATAAAAATTATAATATAATAGAAAACATTATTAATTAATTAAAAAAATATTTAACATTTAATTAATTAATAAGTGTTATTGGAGTTGTTTTTCCTACTATTTTTCATTTTTTTACAACCAACCAATCAAATGTAAATATTTTCCATCTATTTATTTACCTATCATTACTACAATTAATGTATAAGTATTTTAATTATAACTAATTATAATATGGATATATTTAAAATTTTTAATATTCAAAATAATTTTAATTAAAATGAGAGTATACTTAAAATTTGAATATAAATTTCTAATAATAATGAATAAACTAATAAAATAATTAATTAATTATTTAAAAACATTAGTTATACTTATAAAACTTAAAAATAATTTGCAAAAATTAATACTATCACTTAATATATAAACATATTTCTATATGTATTATCAAATTAACTATAATTAATTTTACAATTAATTAATTTAAGAATTAAATAATAATAATAATAATAATAATAATAATAATAATAACAATAACAATAACAATTATATATAGTGGTAGTAGTAATAATAATAGACTAACATTACTTAGCATAAAGGTTCTTCCATGCATCTTCTATGTCTCGAGTTCAAATCAGCCCCTCACAACGTCCCACAGTATATTGCCGCTGTGTATTGTGAACATTTCCTGATAATAACATCATCATTTCTGGTATTATCATCGTGAGATGTTCCAATACACGGCAGGGATATGCTGTTGGATGTTGTGGGGGGCTGATTTGCTCTCCTATGTCTCTACTTGTCTGGGCTCCATAATTTTCCATCTGTCCTATGTTAAGAGGTTCAAGGACCCACCATTCCATACTCAAAAATTCCACCTTAAGAACTACCTTTCTTTCTTAATTTACATTTGTGTTTAGTATCATTGTTGTTCTCATATTGTTTTCATATGAAACCTTTTAGGCTGATGAAAGACAAATTAGTGAGAAATGCATGTTTGGTGGGATATGTCTATAGAAAACGGCAATTTGTATTAATTAATCAACCCAATACGTTTCAGGTTGAAACAGCAAGGTAGCAAACACAAACTTAATGGCTGGTAGTAAAATAAGGGTGCCTTTTTAACCAAAGACCCCATGAGCTAAGCAGTGTCTTCCACCATGGTTTTTAAAATCGAACCGGTGACTGAACTGGTCAGGGGTTCGGTAACCAGTTCAAACAATCCAACCGTTTGACCTGAACAGTCAGCCTGTTCTGACAAAAAAAAAATTAAAATAAATTAGAAAAACTGAAAAATAGTCAGAACCATTCGAACAGTTAACCGGTCGGTTTAGCAGTTTGTTGACCAAAATCAACGGTTTTGAAAGAAAACAGAATCAATCAGGTAACCGGTTCCCGTTTTTCTGGTCCGACCGTCCAATCTGGTCCGGTTTTAAAAACCATGTCTTCCACTCACAGATCTGTCCAACTTATAGGACTACTCATACAAATATCTAACTTGGAGCTATTGATTAGCAGTTGCTGCTCTCTCTGTACATGGCACCAGCTGGCTATTTAGAAGGGCACTCCATAATCCATAACTCCAAAAGTCATTGTAACACAACTTTAATTATGGTAGTTATGTTAGTTGACACTAGGTGTGATTCAAAAGTTTAGCAAGGGTAATTTTACCCTTTACAGTTAATTGCACATATTATGTTCACACAAACTCTATTTTGAGTTTTAACTAAATTTCAAAATTTCCTCCACTTCGAAAGTTTTTTTTTCCCTCGTGTTGAATCCTAGAGAAAAACACCAATGTAATGTTTGGCAACATTACATTTATGTATTGAAAAATGACAAAAAAACACAATTTCCAATGCATATTTATATTGACAATATGATGTAAAAGTACATCAATAATTTGCATTCAAGTGGGCTTTTGATAAAAAAAGATATGTTTTATTGGAATTCCTATTTGCATCCATTTCATTTAAAAATCTGTTTGGTAAGAAGGTAAATTTGTTGGTGCAAAACTAATCCAAATTTGCATTTACACTTATTTGCATTGTTTCCAAACACAACATTAAGGATGGTGTTCTAGGCACACCTCAACCAATAAGTCCTCTCATTCCCTGAATTTACTATTTTGTCCCCTTGCACTTTACAGTAACATCCTATTGCATATACAACATTAATTCCATCTACCTTATATCTATCGTATATCATCATTATAAAATGATTTAAGCCCTCATAATTTAATAATGGATATGATTTTAAACAGAAACGAATGAAAAAAACAGGATTCATGAGATAATACATATAGTTGAGATAAGACTTGGATGATGATGATGAGATGATGAAGTGATTCCCCATTTAATGCTCTAAGCGCTCATTTGGAAGGGCTTACATGCAACAGCTTCAGGTGTTGCAAGGTGGGGGCTCCATAGGAATATCCTAAAAGCTATGTTTGGTGAAAAATATGGAAAGCTAGAAAGTACTTTAGTTAATTATTAGTAAATCAACCTTCTCGTAAAACTTGTTTTAATAGCTCTTTGAAGTAGCTACAAATTGGATTCGTTTATTGTTATTGTACGATAAAAAATTAACTTAATTTGTTACCCCTTGGATTCTCAAAGCTTCTGCCGTAAGGGCAGAGAACCCGTCACTCTCTCGGCTGTGCTACCAGAGGTTCTGGGGAAGTCGGAATAAGAGAGCATTCATCTTGGGGTGGGCTTACTACTTAGATGCTTTCAGCAGTTATCCGCTCCGCACTTGGCTACCCAGCGTTTACCGTGGGCACGATAACTGGTACACCAGAGGTGCGTCCTTCCCGGTCCTCTCGTAATGCAGCTCAATCAAAACTAAACTGGTCCCTCTCAAACAAACTGTAGGCTTGTATGGGGGCTAAAAAAAACATTACATTTCATTAGGGGTGGATTCGAGCCGAGCCGAGCCGAATAGTACCAAGCTCGAGCTTGGATCAGCTCGACTCATTTTATATTTTATAAAAATATTAAACTAAACCGGCCCCTCTCAAACAGACTGTAGGTTTGTATGGGGGCTAAAAAAACATAACATTTCATTAGGGGTGGATTCGAGCCGAGCCGAGCCGAATAGTACCAAGTTCGAGCTCGGCTCAAGACTATTCTACAAGGATTGAACTTGAACTTGAACTCGAACTCGATTCGAGCTAGAACCTTAAACTCGAATTCGAGCTCGAGTTCGACTGAAACTGAGCCGAGTCGAGCTCAAGTAGCTCATGAAAAGCTCGGCTCGTTGCCATGCCTACATTTCATGCTCTAAGTTTGTAAACTGAATCTTCAATCAATTGCATTTCATCATATTCATCAATCTCATAGCCCACAATAATGGATCCTTGAACGTATCTATGATGGCGGGGCAAGAAATGACAACCTCAGTGATCAACTCTATTTGAATTTATACTTAGTAGGCTGACCATAACCCGTACAATGTAAGAGTAACACCAAAAGAAGTAAATCGATTCCAATTTATATATAATAGAAAGAGGAAAGAGGAAAGAGGGAACATCACACAAGTATCTCTTTCTCTCTCTCTCTTTGGGCAGTCACCTTAAATTTTATTAATCATTATCAAAATGAAGGTAAACAAGAATAGGGATGTAGCCCACCTTACTCCTAATCCAACAAGATGCAAACATTCCTCACAAACACAAACCTCCCTACAAGAGGAATAAAGCAATAAATAAAAAGAAAATTGAGTTTCATTACAAGACCAGACTCTTGGAATAGCTAGAACTTTATTGTCTAAATATCTCTTAATCCCTTTTGGTTCTCTCTAACATAAATAGGGGTGTAAATTGGATGAATTGGGTTAGGTTAAGGGCCAACCTAAATATGAACCCTAGCTTGAACATAAATTAATGTCAAAACCCAATTTTTCCCACCAGTACATGGGGTGAATGAATGTATATCTGTTTCATGGATAAAGAATAAAATGGAAAGAAATAATTTAATATGACCTTTTGGTTATTTTCGTGAATTCAATTTGAAATTTTGTTTTTTAACTTGTTTATTGATCTCATGGTAAGCACATATTTTTTGGCTTTATAGGATTACACAACGGGGGAAGACCATCCCCCAAACCCTTAAACCCCTAAAGAACCTATCAATTAGACATGTTCATGGGCTGGGCCAAACTTTAACTGGAGAGTGATGGGCGACAATTTTCTGAACTGCCAACGTTTCAGATCTGAACTCACCACAGGGTTGGTGAACTAAGGAGAGAGAGAGAGAGTAGATGCTGTCGATTTGAGTTCACAGCAGGGATGACGGTTTTCTGAACTGCCAATGCTTCAAATCTGAGTTCCATGTTGCAATGTAGATGTAGATGCTATCAACCTGATGTTCGGACTTGGGAGTGTTTGGAGCAGAGCAAAGCTCGAAGAAATGGGGACTGGTTGCTAGCTTGCTGCTACTGGAGTATAGCTCGAAGAAATGAGGACGTCATCACGCTGCTGAGAGATAGTTGAGAACAGAGCATGGGGAGATATCGTTGCCTTGCCGGTCTCCAGATCATTGCTTGAGTGTAGATTGTAGAAGCGCTACCATCATCCGCCATTGTGAAGGGGATTAAGTCTTCAAACTTCAGACAAAACAGGGATGAGTTTGAATGAACATTTGGGCTGGGGTTAGAAATATTATATTTTAAATAATATATATTATTAATATTTTTATATATTGTTGGGCCAGGCCAAGCTTTTTTGTGAAACCCTGAGCCTCGCCTGAAATCAGGTTGGGCTTAGATAATAGGGCCCGAGCCTAGGCCCATGGGCCTACTAATATGTTCAAGCCCAACCGCGGCTGGGCCAAATTGTTAGGCTATTCGGTCCATGAACAGGTCTACTATCAACTAAGTCACCACCAATTGGTTATCATGATAAACAGTAAGTTATATATAAAGGTATAAGTTTGAAACTTGAAAACTAAAAAGAAAAAGAGAATTGTCTTTTCCTCCCATTCCCATTCCCCTTCCCCCTTCCCCCTTCCCTCTCCCTCCCTTCCATTTGTATCCCAACCCTAGTTTGTTAATCTCAAATACAAAGGATGATCTAATAAGCCGCTTTACAGACGTATTATTAGATCCATACAGTTAGTTGTAAGATCAGAGGACGTTAAGGATGAAATTAATTGGCAATAGTTAAATTTTGGAGCAGTGTTTTTGAACTGTCATTGATCCAAACGGTTGACCAATTGACTTGGTCAATGACTCGTTGATCTCAGCAGTTGAGTCGTAATTTCAGACAACGTTTTTTGACCTTTTTATTTTAATTTATTTTTTATTTTAATTGGAACTAACCATATGTACGAATGACCTATTACACTTTTTAATCTCTCTCTCTCACTCTCAATAACTCTATACAATAAACACACCAGTACGCCATAATATAATCATTTGTCATAATCATATGCATTCTGATACGTAAACTTTCTCTTCTTAGTGTACGTTTGCCATAACTTCTAAAATTGATTATCAACAATTATATATTTATAAATATTTAACATTTGATTACACATACATATTTTAGTTCTCCTATTATTTTTCAATGATTACTAATTTTATCCCCATATCTCGCAATTTATATAAACAATAAAAGTATAATTTTTAGGGAGTACGACTGTTCAATCCACCTCATCAGAATTCTTAGCTTCATCGTACAGGTGGAATGAATCCTGATTACGGATTTGGCATCAATCCACAGACAGAATGCGATTTATAGGAGGGCTACTAGAAGATTATGGGGGACTGTGATTTCAGAATTCTGCAGTGGACTGCAATGTACTTTTCCGTATTTTCTATGTGTAAAACTTATTTAAAATTATATAAAACTTAAATGTATTATCATTAATATATTTTTCATAATTTATTATAATTTCCAGCATATCCATACATATCTTAATTTTTTTTACCATATCTATATGTATCAAAAACATATCACAAATTCATGATACATCTTTTAAAATTAACTTTTCAATACATTGAAGCTTGAGTAGGGGGTGTACATGTAAAACGACCCTTAATTTCATGTCAATGGTTTTTTATTAGATCTAAGCCCCTGTCATTTTCAGGCATGGTTCAAAGTATCGATATGATACGCCCGATACGGGGCGTATCTTATCGTATCTTTTGGAAAAGATATGGTCTGAAACGCCTGTTTCTAGGTGTTTTGGACCCCCAATTTTTTTAAATAATAAAAAGCATGCTAAAAGCTTCCCAAAAAACCAAAATGTGAAAAAAAAACTAAAAAAAAAGTTTCAGCCGTTTCTAAGTACCAATGTGATACGACCGAAACTCGTATCATATCGATATTTTGAACCTTATTTTCAGGTAAATTGGGGAGTGGGGGGTGGGGTTGGTCAACGAGCAGTTTTTTTCTAGGTAAATATGGGACTCACTATAATGGCACTTTCTCCCCGATAAGTCATTTACCTAAATAACTGATTTACCTCAAAACCAAAGGGACCTAAATAAAATTAAAGGTCATTTATTAAAATGCCTCTATGGTTTATTAAAGGTCATTTATTAAAAAGCCCCTATAGTTTTATGAATTTACTAAAACTTATCCTATAGTTTGCAATCAATTTACTTAATCAACCTTCTACTAAATAAAAGTGGAAAATGACAATTTTAACACTAACATCCATTCAAATAAATTTAATAAAAAAACAAAAATACCATTTTGCCCCTTGTAAAACACAAAAAAACTCTATTTTTCTCTAACTGGTCAATTTTATTTTCTATACAAAAAAGTGTTAGGGGAAACTTTATTTTATGGACCAAATTACCCTCGGTTATGAATCCACTCATGACTCTCTCTGTCTCTTTCTCATTCTTGTTCCCTCAGTGGCTCACTCACTGTTCATAGGTGATGAAAAAAAACAACAAGCACTGCTCCGCTACTAGATTGAAGCACTGTACGAATGATGTTGAATCCATGAAGTAACAAGATTTTCTTTTGAAGAGCTTTCCATTTTGTTTTCAGTTTTCATCAAGGTTTTAAAAATCGACCCAGAAACAGAACCACTGTGGGCTGTGGCCACCAGCTTCTGGGTTTGTGGTTCGACTGTCCAAGTCAAATGGTTTGGATTGGTTTCATTATTAGGGCAAATTAATCTTCTAGACTTTTTAAGTAATTAGGTTTGCATGAGAGGCTGTAGTTGTCGGTTGAGAAAGAAAGATAGAAGAAGAAATGAAGGAAAGAGAAAGAAAGAAAAAAAAAGGGGCGGATTGTGGAACTATTGGAGAAGGCGACTCTCTTAGTGATGAGATCCTTATTGCACTTGAAGGAATTCAAAGAGCAAAGGAATTAAATATCAACCGTTTGATCTTGGAAGGTGATTCAAAGATGGTGGTTAGATGGCTGAAGAAAGAGGACAGCAGATTGTGGAACTTTAACAATGAAAAGAAGCAATTCTTATGGTTATGCAAGGACATTGAGATATACAATTGGGTGAAGAGGAATGCCAACTCATTTGCGGATGGGCTGGCTAAGCAAAGGGTGAATAGGGAGTCAGTCTTTTGGGCTAGTCTTTAATTTTTTCCCTTTGTATTCTGTTTTTGGGGAGCTAAGATATTTTATCTCCCCTCCTGTATCCATAATCCCTCTTTTCTTTTAATTTTAATGAAACTGTTGTTATTGATAAAAAAAGAAAAAACAAAAGAAAAAAAGAAAGAAGAGAAGAGAAGAGAAGAAAAAAAAAAAAAGGAAAAGGAGAGAAAGGAAGGACGGATGAGGAGGAAGAGGGAAGAGATGGAAGAGAATCTCAGATCTGAGATCTGATTTCTCTCCAATCTCCAACCTCTGCAATTTTCTTCTTCTTCTTCTTCTTCTTCTCTGCTGTATCTGGGATCTATTGATCTCGGATCTGAGTTGTTCTTCTCTCTCTGCTGTACCCGCGAACCGCTATCAAAATCGAATAGGTCAATGCTTCTCTGACCAAGTCAATTCAATGAATTTTGGCCCAGGAATGGATTAAGGGTGAAACAGAACTGGTTGCCTGGACGCTTTCCAGGCTGAATGGTCCAACCATTCGGCTCAACAGTGGTTCAAAAACACTGGTTTTCACTGCCTTCCAAGTTCCTAATTTGGAAAGAATCTGCAACTCTGCTCCACTCTCAACTATTGTCTCTCTATCTGTGCAAAGCCAGTAAGACATTTTGATAGATGTGCAATCATTATCGATTATCTGTTACTGAATTAACTCTAATGAGAGATTGAGTGTTAATCCTTTGGTTCTAGTTCTACATGCGAATATTTGGTTTCTAAACCCAGATGGGAATCTAACATTTCACCAACACCAATGTCTTCCAAATATTCGCATGCAGAACTTGACATGATAAAATCAAATACCTATACACCACCTAAATGGTGCAATTCCACCTTTTCCATGCGCTAATAACTCCTAAATCAAATACATACGATTCGTTGGATTGGATTTGAAAGGGGTGATCATTTTCAGTGCAGCACAGAAATTCTGGGCTTGGGCCTAGGTGTTGTGTTCTTTTCCAGCCCGAGCCTGGAGCAGGCCTGAGCCCAACACTTCGGACCCAGTCTACACATTTATGTTTATATATAAAATGACTTATATAATACAGACTATATATGATATTTCATATACATATACACAGGCCCAGGCCAGCTCAGCCCATGATCACCCCTACCTAGACATCCATCACTTCATAATATTGTAAATTCAAAACCTTAAAAAGTAATGAAAAGAAAAAAATAAATATTATGATTAGGAACAGCATCTCTGAGTTTAGCTGTGGATAATCGCAATGCAGTAACCAATGAAGATATTCCATCATCATTAATCCAAATTTTGATCAAAACAAATAATTGTATTCAGAAAAGAAAGAAGGTTGTTCTAACCATTTGCACTGGAAGAATATCAACATTTACATTTTAACAATTTCAAAAATATGCAAAAAAATATTGGAAGTAAAAAAAAAAAAGAATATAGATAACAATATAAAAGAACAAAGGCAAAGAAAAGAAAAACAAACTACTATTCTAAAACTTTTGAGACATATTTACAACGAACGGAATGTGAATATTTTACAAGTTGCCTGCCAAAATTCTAGTATATTGCCTATTCCCTGTCTCTGCCAAATAAAACAAAATCCAGATTTAGATAATGACATAGAAGAGTAAGACGATGAAAATTAGGGTGGGGGAATAGGTCAGAAGATACCTCTTAGATACAAGTGCCCCCTTCTTTTCAGTTTGCAGCTGATCAAAATTGTTTCACCATCCTTGTCCCCTTTCAGTTTAAATTATCGTACACACATTTCTTCATCAACAAAACCTTCTGTGCTGGCGTTTCAAATTTGTCATTTTGGCTCTTGGTTCTTAAACTATGATGGACCAACCACATATTTCTATATCCCTTGAGAAGGGGAAGTTGCTCTTGTTTACCAACAAAATATAATGTCCACAACATTAAGTCATTTTACACTGCCATGGTTGATGCGAGCCTGTGATAATTGTTCAGAATTTCTTTGAGCAGCATTCTTGGTTTTCTCATTTTCCGCTTCCTTCAATGCTTTCTTCTTTTCAAGCTCACTCTGCTTGATGTTTTCTTCATGGGCCCGCTCAAACATTCTCACAAAGTTGAGTAGTGTAGCAACAACTGAAATAGACACGTGATGTGAAGGAAATACATGTGCAAAGGAAGCATAGGTGTAAATATTCTCAAAATAATGTATTTAAATTAATAAGCAAATTTGATTCGGCATAAAAAATGTCAAACTACATAAACTAAGTCAACAAATAAATATAAATTTAACAAGTGACGGTAAATACCCAATGCATTTTCTGCATTTGTTTTGTTGCAATATGCTTATGACGGTAAATCTTCAAAATTTTGCCTAGATAGCTCATCAAAGTTCTCAATTACCATTGGCACTACAACTCATTTAAATTCTTCCTTTGTGGTCCCTAAATACATCCTCCACTCCTTAATTGTCCTGGATTGCCAAGCAAGATGCCATCAAAATTCAATTTTTTTTTTAACTCTCCTTTCAAGTCCTTCTAAGCTCTAACTATTATGTGTCTTTCAGGAGAAAATAGAAATCTTGACAATGTAGACCACTCCCACCCCCTCAATATAGAATTTGGGTATTCAAGTGATACAATCCATGAAAGGCATCTTTATTTCTTAAAATATGTATGGATCTGCTGAAGGACATAGGAAGGTTAGGTGCAAAATTTGTGGATACACTGATCAATTCAAAAAATGCTAATCAAGGGGAACTTCTTAAAGTGAAATGTTTTAGCGCCTTGTTGGGAGGCTTGTAATGTTGATGTATGATCATGCTGACAATATCATATGTTGTCAACATGGTTAGTCAATACGTGCATCAACCATGCGTTCTTCATCTTGACTCTAAAGATATTTCTTATTATACTTAAGGTTATTCCTGATAATGGAGTTTTATGTGCCAATCATGATCACCTCAGTGTCAAAGCATATAAGACGCAGATTGGGCTGCTGCTATTGATGATATACGTTCAATTTCAAGCTACTACACCTTTGTAGGAGGTAATTTAGGGTCGTGGAGAAGCAAAAAGTAGTATGTTGTACCTAGATCAAGTGTTGAACCAAAGTTTTTTATCAGAAACTTAGACAAATTTATAACTTAAAAGGAGAATAGTAGAACAAGTTAGAAATAACACCCAATACAACAGAGTCCCACCACCCAATTAACATTGAGCCCAAAACACATGATGTCTATCCACTCCTTGTTTAGCTAATCCATCCACCAAAGTTCAAAGCTCCTGGAACATGAAATGTCTGAGTAGTTGGTTAAAAGTCAACTTTGAAACACCCTTGATCTGTACTTTGACAAACAAGCAGCAATTAACATTGCCTACAATCCCATTTAGCAGATAATACTAAGCCTATTGAAGTTGATTGTCATTTTACCAACAAGAAGGTTTTTTTTTATTGGTAATTTACTTCTATCAGATGATAAAATGGATTAATTACGTACAAAATATGCCAACTATCCCTCACTAGTCTGCTTTGATCCACTTGGCCCTTAACTACCACCCCAATCTGTTTTGCTAGTGATTGGCCCAACAATGGATGAAGTGGTTACCTTGGGCCAAACTATGTACAACAACACCTTTCAAATTGTAACTGAAATAGTTTCATTTCAACCACTCTATGGTTGTGAAACACCATCCATTCTCCCTTATGAATTGGGATCTATGGCTGTTGCTTCACCTGAGGAACATTTACTGAGATGGATCCAGTTTTACAAGAGAACCAAAGAATAATTTGCAACTGGCCCAACAAATCATGAAAATCACTCATGATTGCGAATGGAGGCATGTTGAATTTCAAGTGGATGACTGGGTCTACATCAGACTACAACCCTATAGACAATCCTCACTAGCTGCTTGTCCATACCACAAACTATCCCCTAGATACTATGAGCCTTTTCTTATTCTAGCTTGGATTGGCCCAATCACCCATAAACTTGAACTTTTGGCAAACTCTAAAGTGCATTCCATTTTCCATGTTGCTATATTGAAGAAGTGTGTGCAAGGAACCAAAGTAGCAGGTACTTCTTTGTCAGATACAAATGTTGAGGGCAAGCTGATAGTTGAGCCCAAGCATATTATGGATTTCCACTGGGACCATCAAGAATGGAAGGTCATCATTGAGGCTCTAGTAGAATGATTGGTTTATCTACAAATGATGTTACCTGGGAAGACCTCCCCAAACTTCGGCTTGATTACCCAACTTTTGACATTGAGCGCAAGGTCCATCTTAAAGGGGATGGGAAACATAGGCCCATATCAGAGGGTGTCTCAACTCAATCCACTTGCAAACACATTGCTTACGTTTATGGTAGGAAGCCATGTCAGCAGCCACACGTCTAAGACAGTTAGAAAGATTAAAATGTATGAATCCATATAACAGAATATTCAGAAGAAAGAGATGATGTTATAAATACCTAACCCAAGCAGAAGGCAGAGAAGTTAGACCCAAACTTTCACCCTTCCTTTCTTTTCCCCACCCCACCATTTTTAGGAGGTTAGCTCTCCCTTGAAGATTGCTCTCTGATAGGCAGTAACCTATCAATATTCCTTCAAGTATAGTATTGTATTATATTCCTTCAAGTTAAGTGAACATATTTTGTAAGGTGGCTTACAACATGAATTTCTTCTCCCTATGCCTATCACCCCCCTGAATGGATTGAATTATTTGGAGTGGTCTAAGGGTATAAAACTTTATCTTACAACATGAGGGAAAATTGGTTATATTAATGGGATGGTAAAGGAACCTAAGACCAGTGCTTAAAAAGCATTGGAGACATATTCTAGGAAGTGCACTTCCAAGAGAGGTGCCAAGAAAACACCTGGATTTACAGCCTAGAACTGTATAGAGACTTGAGATATATGCCTCCATTACACTTTATACACTTTATGCAGCCTAGTTCTGTCATGTTGAACAGGATTATGTGCAATATCGATAGCTGCCTGGTTGTCAAAGTAGAGCATCATTGGCTTTTCATAGTCAACTCCCAATTCTTCTAAAAGTGATCACAGCCACAATAATTTTGACACACCATATTCTGCTTCAGCAGAGGATTTGGCAACTACAAACTATTTCTTACTCCATGAACAATGTTCCCTGCCACCAAAGCACAATATCCCAAGGTAGACCTCATCAATACGTCCAACCCAATCAGCATCAGTGTATGCCTCCAACTACATGTGTCCATGTTTGGAAAATAGAATACCTTTCCCTAGAGTACCTTTCAAGTAACACAAAACTCCTTCTGTAGCAACTAAATGTGTATCTTTGGGAGAATGCATAAATTGACTAATAACACTCACTACATAGGAAATATCCGGCCGAGTCATGCGGAGATATAACAACTTCCCAAGCAGTCTTTGAAACACTCCCTTATCAGATGAAAATTCACATTTGTAGCAGAAAGCTTATGATTGGGATTGGTAGCGGTGGAGGCCAGTTTAGCACCAACTTTACCAGTCTCTGCAAGGAAGTTAAGGAGATACTTGTACTGAAAAATGAAGATACCATCATTAGATTTAGCAACTTCAATTCCCAAGAAATACCTAAGATCTCCTAAATCCTTGATCACAAATTCAGAGTTAAAAACTTTTTTTTACTAACCTCCTGGGTGTCATTACCCGCGACCACAATGTCATCAACATAAACAATCAGAAAAGTCACTAAAGAGTTACTTCTTTTCAAGAATAAGGTATGGTTAGATTGAGTTTGTGTGTAACCAAATGAGACGAGAGCAGCCCTAAATCTCTCAAACTAGGCCCGAGGGGACTGTTTGAGACCATAAATGGACTTATGCACTTTACACACCTCCCCTTGCATTTCCGTTCCATACACGCTCGGCGGCAAAGACATATAGACCTCTTCATGTAGATCTCCATTCAAGAAGGCATTTTTAACATCAAACTGGTGGAAAGGCCAATCAAAAGTAGCAGCTGGATAAAAAAACCAGAACTGAGGTCATCTTGGCCACAGGAACAAAAGTCTCAAGATAGTCAATACCATACATCAAAGTGTAGCCTTTAGCAACCAATCTGGCTTTAAACCTCTCAATAGAGCCATCAGAATGATAATTAATGATAAATACCCATTTACAACCCACTAGTTCCTTCCCTTCTGGCAAATCCACAATATCCCAGGTATGGTTCCTATGCAAAGCATCCAGTTCAGCCATAATAGCATCTCTCTATTCAGGTTTAGAAAAGGCTTCTGGTACAAATTTGGGTATCACATGGGAAGAAACAAAAGCAAGAAAAGAGTAATAGGTAGAGGATAAAAGGCTATAAGACAAGTGTTTAGAGATACAATGGGTTGTATATTTCCACTTGCCTTAGCGAAGAGCAATAGAAAGGTCAAGGTCTAGGAAAGAAGTAGATGGGTTAGAGGAAGGCTGATTTGTTACCTTAGTAATGATGGGAGGAGCAAGAGGCTCTTCAGCAGGAGCGGAAACAACTTGCCCATGCTTGAATCTATGTCTCACCTTTGGAGAACAGGATGTGAGGGAATTGTAGGAGGATGAGGAGGAGCAGGAATACTTGAGGTAGTCATAATGGGAGAAGCGGACAACTCATCAGATGACTCAAAAGGAACAGGAAGAAGAACTGCTGGAGACATAGCGAAGGGTTCCTCAGATTGCTCCCCATCAAGAGGAATACTAAAGAAAAGAGCAGACTCAGCAAATTTGACATCCCGAGAGACAAAGCGGGTGCCATTGATTGGATCAAAACAGCAATATCTCTTCTGTATGGAGGCATACCCTAGAAAAACACACTTATGAGCCTTAGGTTCAAATTTGTGCCTTTGATAGCTGTGAGCATGTACATAGTAAGTGCACCCAAAAACACAGAGAGGAAGAGAGAAGAGATCCTCATCTGGAAAGAGAAGGCTAAAGGGGGTTTTGAAGCCAAGAACTCGGGAAGGTATACGGTTAATCAAAAAGGTAGCAGTAAGGACAACATCTCCCTAAAATTTAATATGAACATGGAATGAAAAAAGGAGGGATCTGGCAACCTCAACCACATGGCAGTTCTTCCTTTCCACCACTCAATTCTGTTTTGGAGTGTAGGAACAAGAACTTTGATAAATAACCCCAAAAGTTTCAAGATAGGATGGGAGGTTCTTCTCAAATACTCGTTAGCATTATTAGAATGGAATATTTTGATCCGGGTGTTAAATTGGATAAGAATAAGTTCATGAAATTTTGCACAATAGTCGGTACTTCATCCCAAGATCTCATG